ACCATACAGGGATTTTGGGCACCACAGCTTTCTCTCCTGTATTGTACATATTAGGATTAATTTAAGCTTACTTTTCAATCTCTGGTTTTCATTTTCTAGGCTTTGTTCCATATATATTTGTGCAGTTTTTTTCACGCTTAGATAGAATTCTTAAACCTATTAGTCTCAATTCCTTTTAATGACTGAAGGATTATAACTACTAAGGCAATAAGAAGTTACTTTATATACTTATATTGTCATATATTACTCTATAATTGCCTTGAATAAACTTTTTCCACAGATAATTCTTACATCCTCTATAAGGCTCAGTGCAGGTGATACTTGTTAACAGCATAGTTGACTGACTTGAGTTTTTGTTTGGTTTAATACCTGTTCTTCTAGAAATTCATTAATTCTAGGACAGTGGGGAGCTGGGTGATACCTATTGTAGATTAATTTTTTAAAAATTCATAATTTCAACAAAAGAATCTAAGCTCCATGAGGACAGAAATTCTGTCCATTTGGTTCACTACTGTCTCTAGCACCTGGAGTGATGTGTGACGTACTACTGTGTGCTTAAAATTGTTAAATGAGTCAATGGTTTCTAGTACCTGGAGTGATATGTGACATACTACTGCGTGCTTAAAATTGTTAAATGAGTCAATGGTCTCTAGCACCTGGAGTGATGTGTGACATACTACTGTGTGCTTAAAATTGTTAAATGAGTCAATTGTCTCTACCACCTGGAGTGATGTGTGACATACCACTGTGTGCTTAAAATTGTTAAATGAGTGAATGGTATAACATTTCTAGTATTTCCCAGCTACTTTTTTGTAAAACTGTACCTATTTTGAGAGACTATTTCTCATTTCAGATTCCTAATATTCTAGTCAACATTTATCTTACTCATAAGACTTTATAACCTTTGTGAAAAAGTCTTTTAAGTCTTTGTCTTTCTGGCCCAGTTCATACATTATTATTTATTTTACCTGTATGATCATTTTTTTTACCCTTTGCCAAATCATGTCATGCTCTGTCTAATAGATGTGGCTATAATTATTATATGTGTGATTATAGGCATTTGCTTTAATTTTGTAATTTTTCTATGCTAATATACTAATTACTTTTGTGTAAAATAATTCATTAGGTGTATGATAAATATGCACGTCCATTTGGGAGTTAATTAAATTAGATTAATTTGGAGCAGACTTAACTAGGTAATATCTATAAATTCACTTGTTTGGGAAAACAAACTATGTTTTATTAATGTGCATTTAATATGAATGGATGAGTAACCACACTTTTTATTCCCACCCAAGTTGTGAAATTCTCCTTTATCTCATATAGTTTGACTGTGTCTCTGGTCTATAGCCTAATTGTTGCAACATCATGACATGTAGAAAATAATAGACATTAATTCCTTTTAAAAAAGATAGACATTTATAGAAAACTCAGTATTTTCTTCCATCATGCTAGTAGATCTCCATCATGCTAGTAGATCATCTTGCATCCCCCACATTGAAGCCACTGTTGTGTAGTGTGGATATAATTTGTGATGATTTCTCTGTTGTCAAGATTTAGGTGCTTCATCCTCCTCCCATTCTTTGCCCCCACCCCACTTTTCCCTCCCTCTATTCTTTCTCTGTCTTACAAATAATACTGATGTGAGCATCCTTGTGTTCATATCCTTGAGTATTTGTATAGGCTATGTATAGAATACATTACTAGAAATGAAGCCAACAAATGGCAAACATTTAAACTGATCAGGTACTGTTCTGTTATTACCCAAATGCTGATTTCCAGTCACCCCGATAGTTGTTAAAATATTTCTAATCAGATGGCAGAAGTAGTTGTATGAACAGAAAATAAAGTACACAGAGAAACCAGATGCTGTAACTCTAGTAAAAGATGAGTTCTCTTTCAGGGAGATTTAGTGTAGGCAATAAAAGAGTGAAAGTAATTATTTACCTTTCCTAAGGTTGTTGTAAGGAAGTTGACACTTAATACTGTTTTGTTTTTATATTTCCCTTCAGTATTTTATAGCAAATAAAGTTGAGCCACACTTCTATTAGAAAATATTAATAATCCCTAATGTCCATAATGAATGTCTTAACTATTTTATTGTCTTTTTAGTCTGCAGACATATAATTAGTGTAGGAAGCTTATTGATGGTCTGTTGTTTCATTCATGAAGACTCTGGAAAGAGAGACTTTTAGTTCCATACTTAAACAGAATTTAGTCCTCTATGACCACTAACAGGAGAAAGTGAAGAGAGAGTGATTTAGGAACTAAGCCAAATAGAACCAGAAGAAAACATCCTAAATTGGAATAAACTCTAGGGCAGGCAGGGAGATGGGCGGGACCAAGCTGCTAAAGAGATGTCAGTGATGACTACCTGAATGAGTATTTCATCATATACATTTTTTTTTAAAAGACTCTATAAATTTTTCTGTGAATAGTGTTGCACATGGTTAAAAGGATTCCAAGGCAAAGGATATAAAGATTCACCTCATTTGGAACTATTTTAAACTTCCTAGCTTTTCTCAATGCTTATTAGTACAGCATGTTTGTAATTGTTCTAAAGATGTACGTTAACAAACTTTTTTTAGGTAACAAAGTAATGACTTCTTCTAGATTTCAGGTTTTATTTCTCTGTGAAAATGCAGTGATACTTCCCCAATGCTTTGAATTTTCTGTTGTGATTTTAAGCTATGTACATATTAAGTATTTGTGTTGTTGAACTTAAATCAGATGTTGGTGATACACTTCTCAAGGATAACAATTCTTTTGTTCAAATGTGCAAACTGTAAAATATGAAAATCAGGCACATATATTCTCAGTTTTATTGTCAAGTTTCAATATATCATTATCAAGATGTTGAGGACAGATAGCCTCAGCATCACAAGGGATAGTTATCTTGTTTAGGTGCCAAATGAGTTAGTAGAAATGAGTTACTAAAAATTCAAGGAAGTTTGGAGGGTAGATAACATTATTTTAAAATAACAGTCAGAAAATTTTAATTGGGAACTAAATTAAATATTAAAGGATGAGACAATAATAGGGCAAGGGTACTGGATAGTCATTCTAGAAGGGTGTGTGTGAAGGGATGTTTGCAGGTAAGTACATATCTCGTTTGTTTAAGGACAGTGAATGGAATATCTTGATAGGAGTGTGTAGTCCTTAATGAAATTAAAGATGATGTTGAAAGGCAGAGTGGGCCTTTGATATCTACTGAAACTCAGTGTTTCAGATGAAAGAATAGCTCAGGAAAGTGAAGGAATTGGCCTGTATCTTATACCTCATTTGTGATAGATAGGAATTGTGACCCAGTTCTTTTAATTCTGTGCTTTTTTAACATAATGAATTTGAATTTGTGGTTATGGTGTTAAAATTAAGGTGTTCCTTTAGGGAAGTGAGAAGCCAAGTTGAAAATAGTTAGCATAGGGGTTAATTGTGAAAGGTGATATCAGGACGATTTGGTAATAGTTTCAAAGAGAATGAGAAGAAATGCTAATGAAAAGCAAAGTGCAGATCACTGTTACAGTATATTCCTAACTGGAAAAGAGGGAAGCAGAGTTATTTGTTTAGAAAGCTATTCCAGAAACATTATAGGTTCTGGAGGGAAGGGAAAAGTGGGGAGAACAGTTAGGAATATTTGTCTTTCATAACATTTGAAATTATTTTGTTCCACTCACGTTATAGTTTAGTTGAGTTTCAGTGTTTAAAAGGGAAACAAGGATCTAACAAAAGCATATTAGATTGTGTTAGTCTGGATCTGTAGACTTTGGGCTAGATGGCATTGGGAATGAAAATGCCCTTTGCACATGGAAACCATCTAGGTTAAAGAGTGAAGACTGGGGAAAGAACCTCTAAGTGATTAAAAGGAATGAGAGAAATAGTAATTAATAATGACTGACATTTGGTCCAGAGGCAGTAGGGTTTGTTGTAATAAATACTAACTTGGGAGGCAGAAAACCAGGATTCTGTTTCCTTCTTTACCATCAATTAGGCGAGTTACTTTATTTACATGATCTTGATTCTTCATCTGTAAAATACAGGTATGGTGTTAAATTTTATTCAGTCTCTGAGGGTTGATATTCTATGAGATTCCTGGAGTAAAGTAGCTTATTTGTTGTAGTCTCAAGTTGAAAGATGACTAGGTGTAAATAAATAGGAGTAACAAATATTTAAGGGATATATTTATTTATTTAACAACAATAGTCCAGTCAGACCAGTACAAGATACTTGGTTATATAGGAAGCAAAAAGTTGAAATATTTGAGTCAGATGCAGTAGCTGTGGCCACAGTGTCTTGCTCAGCTGAGAAAGTCATTTGGCTCCCTGTTAATCTTCTCAGGCTCTAGTTGACTTGAGGTCTAGGTACTTTCCTTGAAAATTGAAAGGAAAAGAGAATAACCATATTAGTCATTCTGTGTTCTTAGCTCCTGGTTGAAAGCTTTTGAAAAAGTCATCTTCCTGCTACTGTAGAATAAAATGTCTTTTTCAAATTGAATTACATGTTGAGGATGATGACTGGCATGCATATAAGGTGTGATGAATACATAAATACATTAGGAAATGCGAAAATAGGTAAGATAGCCTGATCTTTTTTTCTCTTCCAAAATGGAAATCCTAATGAGTACCCAAGGATACGATGGATTGTGGTTGGTATTGAAGAAATGGGGAAGTTTATTGGTTTTACTTGTAGTGTAAGAATTTAGCTAATTCAGCTTCTATGCTGAAGAGCCTTCTTGCAAGTTTCCAGCCTAGTGAACCTCTAACACCAAAGATAAAGCAATTAAGCAGTTCATTTTGATCTTATTATATGAGAGAGTTCTATTGGGCTTAATCTTGGCTGTTCATTTTTCAGAAAGATACTCAGAGCATAAAATAAAAAATCCTTTTATATATTTTGGGGACTTTGTATAATGGATCGTAGATCATGTTTTCTTGCACTTAATGTAAATGGAATTATCCTACTTGAGTGAAGTGGTAAATTAAATTTATTAATTTCCTCTCAAGATTGTTAAAGGAGATGGGCTGGCAAGAAGACAGTGAAAATGATGAAACTTGTGCTCCTTTAACTGAGGATGAAATGAGAGAATTCCAAGTTATTAGTGAACAGGTAAGAAGAACTGAATCATACAAATTTACTTTAAATTGCCCTTCCTTATTTCATTAGAGCAATGTATTGTAAGTAAGCAGTTGGGGGGCTGGGCTTCATAGTTTTATTTAGGAATTTATTAAACATCACTCTCTAGGTCAGAATTGTATTTGTTTTAAACAGGTCTGCAGTGATGACTTTAAATTTGTGGGTGTACAGTGCTTAGGAATTAGGATAAACAGTTATGTCTGTGATTTGTCATTTTCCAGACTTTCTTTTTTTAAATAGCAGAAGGCTGACTAAGTAGAAAGCGTCCGTAGTTTCACCTTTTATCCTTCCCTTGAACAAAAATATTTCATATTCTAAAACGTCTTGTTTTATGGCTCTAGAGTTTCCTTTTTGAGATTTAGGAAATGTTTCATAGAGCCTCAGGAAGTTGAGATGTTTTTTTCACATCTGTTACAGTTTTTAAAAACAGTTTTTGTCATGAAGAAGCAATTTTTTAATATGGAGATGTTATAATTGATACTTAATCTTCAAACATTTCAGGTTTTGAATGAAATCTTTGAGGAAATTAGTTACTTGATTTCATAATAAAGTGGACTCTATCATTCTACTTTTAATTTTTCAAAGGGTGAATTTAATGTATTGGTTTTTTCCCATGGTACTTAAATTTCTGGCAAAGTACATACACACAGTGTAACATATACCATCTTAACTATTTTTAAGTGTAGAATTTTGTGTCACATTCAGTTTGTTTGCATCCATTGTCACCATCCACCTCCAGAACTCTTCATTTTGTAAAACCAAAACTCCGTACTCATGAAGCCATGACTCTTCATTCCTCACTTCCCCCAGCTCTTAGAAACTGCTGGTCTTTCTGTTTCTATGAATTTGTACTTTGTAAGATAGAGTCATGCTGTATTTGTCTTTTTGTCTGGCTTATTTTACTTAGCATAATGTCTTCAGGGTTCATTCATACAGCATGTGTTAGAATTTCCTTCCTTTTTAAAGGCTGAATATCACATTGTATATATCACGTTTTGTGTTATCATTCATCCGTTAAAGGATACCCTTTTTTGGCTGTTGTGAATAATGCTACTGTGAAACATGGGTGTACAAATATCTGGAGTCCAAATTCTTTAGTCATACACACAGAATTGGAATTGTTAGTTCATATGGTCATTTATTTTTAACTTATTGAACTGGATATTTTTCCATAGTAACTACACCGTTTTACATTCCCACCAATAGAGTTCAAGAATTCCACCCTCCACCCCCTCCTTTTTTTGATAATACCATCCTAATGGGTGTGAGGTGGTATCTCATTGTTCCTTTGATATGCATTTCTGCATTGATTAGTGATGTTGAACATATTTTTGTGTGCTTGGTCATTTGTATATTTTTGGAGAAATGTCTTTTAAAGTCCTTTGTCCATTTTTTAAACCACAGTTTGGTGTTGAGTCATACACTTCTTTATTTTTTTTCAGAGTGTTTACCTCTAAGGTAAGCAAACATTTTTCCCATTCTGTGGGTTACCTTTTCACTCTATTGATTGGTATCCTTGTATGCATAGAAGTTTAAAATTTAGAGGTAGCCCAATTTATTTATTTTTTTGTTATTTGTGCTGTTGTTATGTCCAAGAAACTATTGCCAAATCCAGTGTCATGGAGCAAGAAAAACCCTCTGTGTTTTCTTTTAAGTGTTTTAATAGTTTTAGTTCTCACATTTAGGTCCATTTTTAAGTTAATTTTTGTACATGGTTGTATGGTAAGGGGTCTAATAACTTCTTTTGCATGTGAATATCCTTTTAACAGCATTTGTTGAAAAGACTGCCCTTGCTTGGTTCTGACACCCTTGTCAAAAAGCATTTGATTATGTATGCAAGGGTGTTTTCCTGGGTTTTCTATATACCATTGGGCTTTCCGTCTGTTTTTATGCCATTACCAATTTGTTTTAATTATTGCAGCTCTGTAATAAGTTTTGAAAACAAGAAGTGTGAAAACTACAATTCTGCCTTTTTTTGATTGTTTTTTTTGGAATCTCTTGAGATTACATAAAAATTTTAGGATGGGTTTTTCTGTTCCTACAAAAAAATACCTTTGGAATTTTGATAGGTATTGCATTGAATCTGTAGATTGCTTTGGGTAATATTTGCCTCCTAACCATATTAAGTCTTCTGATCCATAAGTATGGATGTATTTCCATTTATTGTTTTCTTCAATTTCAGCAACATTCTGTACTTTTCAGTGTAGAAGTTTTTTTGCCTCCTTGATTAATAAGTTTATTTATTCCTTTGACTTATTTCTGAGTGCTCTTTTTAATACTATAAGAAACAGAATTGTTCTCTTATATCCTTTTTGAATTAGTTACAACTGATTTATGTATTGATTTTGTATCCTGCGACTTTGCCATATTTGTTCTTTCATTTTTATTGTGGAATCGTTAGGGTTCTCTCTATATAAGGTCAGGTTGTGAACAGAGAGAATTTTACTTTTCCACTTTCATATTTCTCCCTTCTCAGATAACTAAAATTTTTTATCCAGAAGTTCTTAGTGAACAGTGCTGTTTTTTTTACAGCATGGTTGTGAAGTTAATGTTAGATAATAGTTTTGAAGGGTTTTCTGGTTATGTTATTACATTGTATAATTTATATACAAAAAATGCCTTTAAATGTATGATTGGATGAGTTTTGACTGATGTATATAATTGTATAACCATCATCCCAAAATGTTCCTCCTCGTCCCTCCTTTGTGTTAAATTCTTTAACTTCCAGTTCCAGTCCCTGCCAGACATTGCTTTGTTTTCTGTTCCTATAGCTTTGCCTTTCCAGAAATAATTGAGTCATAAACTGTATGTTCTCAGATCTGACTGTTTTCATGCTTTAGAAAACTCACTCATGTTTGGTGAGTAGTTGACCATTGTATGAATTTACCAGTTTGTGGAGAAAGACATTGAGAAATCCATCAGGTACCATTACCATAAAGGTAGTAGTAGTTCCAAGGAAAGCATAGTATTTGTCTGACTGAGAGAATTGGCTTTAAACTTGTGATGACTGGGGCAGGTAGATAAAACCCTATTAATAATAAAATAAATGATACAAAATTTGTGTGCATACTATGGGTAGGAGAGCAACGGCTCTCCATATCAAGTGTTATGTTCATATTTTTCTGAACTAATGATAAAGATATGGGTATTTTTATATTAATGATTACAAGTCATTTGATACATAGATGCCTGAAAAATCATTAGGGCGTGATGCTGTTTATAAAAGGATTTATATTGTATCTTGTAAAAGAGAAAAAATATGAGTTCAAATTCCCTTTCTTCAATTTAGCAAGCATTTATTGAGTGTTCATTATACCCAAGATACTATGGAGCTTACACAGATGAACTCCTTCATAGGGCTAACAGTTATATTTGTATTGAAATATCACTGATACACAGTCTTAGATAGGTCTTCAAATATACAACACAGTTGTTCAGCAGTTACCCATATTATTAAATCTAGTGCGGTTTTACTATCTGCCAACATAGGAAGATGTTACAGAATCATTGACTATATTCTCCATGCTGTACTACTATCCCTGTGACCAGCATATACTATGATAGAGAATTTTGTGCCCCTTTATCCCCCTCATGCTCCCCACCCACCTACTCCACCTTTCCCCCATGGTAACCACTAGTCACTTCTCTCTTGCTGTTTTGTTTATTCTGTTTTGCTTTGTTTTCATATTCCACAAATAAGTGAAATTATATGGCTTTTGTCTTTGCCAAGTTATTTCATTGAGCATAGTAATAGAGCTAACGGTTTAATGAGGGTAGATAAATTCCTATGTATACCAGAATGTGATAGCAGTTTTCAAAATGTTTAAGGTGAGGACAGGTGCCTGAGAGAAAGAGAGAGAGTCATGCAGATTGATCAAATCTTTCTTGAGTGCCTACTACATGCTAGGCCCTATTTTAGAGTGCTGGGAAAACCCAAATTTTTGCCCACATAGAATTTATATTCTATTGGTTAAATCTAGAGATTAATTTCATTTGCAGTGATATGAGAAATCACAATTGAGTTGGATTTGAATCGACAAGTTAGATGAAGGAATGACATACTTGGTACAAGGAGTGTACAGAGGCATAAAGTAAGAGTACAGGGTATGTTGGAGTTCACAGTGTCTGGATCATGGGGTAGAAAGTTTTTAGTGAAAGATCATAACAATAATAGGCAGGGTGAGTTTAAGCCCTGGTTTGCCTTGGAGAGTCCCACTTTATACTTGTTATCCCACTGTAGTTACTAATAGTGCTTACTTTCATTCTCAGAAGTATCCTAGTTTTGAATGTTAAATTACAGGGCTTCCCTAAATGTAAGTAACATTATGTGAGTTCTTAATGTCCTCTAGGTATTGCCAAGTGCATTTATGTAGCATTTATATGAAGTAGGTCCTATTATAAATCCTGCTATATCTATGAAACTAAGGCTTATAGGAGGTTGTTGTATAGTTTTCTCTAGGATATACAGTTTATCAGTAATGGAGCTGAAACTTGAGCCCAAGTCTGGCTGACTTCATATCCTGAGCCTTTAACCTTGATGGAATGTTGGAAAAATATATTGAGGTCATATTATAAAGGTCTTTGTATGCCATATCAGGAGTATAGATTATGTTCTAGGATAAGAAATGTTTGGTGGTGTTTTTAGGGATGTGAAATGATCATTATTTGTGCACAAGGAAGTACAGGTATAGTGTCAAGCGTACATAGGAAAACTAGAATCAGAATGATTGGTTGGGAATGTATTTGTCATAATTAGAGGAGACATAAATGAGGGCCTAACGTAGAGAAATGACAGTAGAAAATGATCTTAATATGTCTAAGATCTAAAAATAGGTCAGAATTTTGAAATTTCAGCCTATGAACTGATCATTGTGTCATTACTGTAAACAAGAATACAGAAGCAGGAGCTAGTTGAAAAGTTTTTTTTTTTTTTTTTTTAATTCTAAGTGAAGTGTTCTTGGGGAACAGTGTAAGCATTTAGCAAGTAAGAGATAAAGGTTTAGATCTAGTGCTTATCACAGTTCTCCAGCCGATTTCATGCTGTGGAAGATAAGGTGGCGTTGGGTGATGAATCATGTGATGCAAGGATAAAACTTTGGGGGATGGCAAAAGAGTGTACCTTAGAAGGAGGGACAAGGTGTATTTGTAAGCATCCCAGTGACTGAAAACACCAGGGGTTGGGGACATGGCTTTTGTTTTTCTCAGTAAAGATGATGAGATAGTTTGCAAAAAAATGAAGGGGAGGTAGCTTAAATTTTGGAATTTAGGTTGAAGAGAAAATCTGTTATGGAAATAGGGAATTAAATAGGGAAAAGGGCAAACTGAAAGTGAAGACCCCAGACTTGTTACTTCCTGTCATGAAGGTCTGTAGCAAGCAAAATTAGCTGTGATGTAAGTGACTCTCTGGGTTTAGATCTTACCCTAATCCTTATTTCTTAAAAAACCCTTCTAGAATATGAAATCTATAAATTGTTCCAAATATTAACTTGTTATTAGCTGGATTTGGTCTTACAGAAGATTGTATTTAGATACTTTGATGTAAATTACCAGAGTCTCAGTAATCCAGAAGGTTGGAGTTAGTAGAGTGCATGTTGTTAATGAATTTTTTCTTTAAATGTTTCTCATTTGGCCAAGTGTTTCCTAAAACCCCCACCCCATGCAGTGTGATCTTGAGCCCATTTCTTATTACCTACCACACTAAGTAAGCCTTTAGTTCTGATTTCTCATTTTTAGAACTAAAAGACTATCCTAATCTTAAATATTTTACAATCTGATTGGTTACAAATTGATTTTGTTACTTTTTATACCTTACTTGAATACTGCAGTAATTATTGGAATAGTTTGTATTCTACTTATTTTACAAAGTTTAAATAAGCAGATCTTGGGGTATGTTAATGGCCCAATTAAGTCAGGATAATAAAAATAACAGCTATAGCTTAAGGGTTGCTGATTATATTCTGGGCATTATCTGAAGATATTTATTACAGTTTTCACTTAAGGAAACGAAAATTTGGAAAGGTTACCTTAACAAGTGACAGAACCAGTTCACACCTATATTGTCTGAATCTAAAATCTACTTTTTCCATGACACACTAATTTTTTTGTGTGGTTTAGTAGATGGGTGAATGATGGTCAGATCATTGGATCAATTACTTGTATTTTAACTAGTTTTTCAGAATTGGTATCTTAAACTGTTGAATTTTCGGGTAGAATGCAATTTTATTAAGTTTCATTGTATTCATGGTTACATTTAATTATTGTAACATTCTTAATTTGTAAGTAACTCTTGGAGGATAGTACATCTATTTAATTTACTTATTTTTGACCTTTTAGTTACAGAAGAATGGTCTGAGGAAAAATGGTATTTTGAAAAACGGCCTGATCTGTGACTTCAAGTTTGGACCCTGGAAAAACAGCACTTTCAAACCAACTATTGAGAATGACGACACAGAGACAAGTAGCAGTGACACGTCAGATGACGACGATGTGTGAAGGATTTCCTAACAGCTTTAGAAATTTTAGTGTGATACATCTCTCATACAGTTTGGGGTGAATTGTAAAAATGAAGAACTATAATTTATGTAGTAAAATACCCCATTAGAAGATGATTATTTTGTGGGACTTCAATATGAAGAAAACCAAGAATGTTGTGTTGGGCTGTGTTGAACATTATTTCTTTGTAAATGAATGTTGTAGGAATGAGGACTTTGGTTGATCCAACGTTGACTTTCTTCATCACTGCAGCATTTTCTCTGACTAGCAATGTGACGATGTAACAAATGAGATTTTCTCATTTAATAATAAAAAAGTTGTGTAATGTTTTGCAAAGCTTCTGTCTTAAAATGTCCAGGTCTTAAGAAAAAAGGCAGCTTACACTGTTTTGCTTGCAGAGTCATATCTTTTCGTATAATGGAAATCCTCAAGTCCTTTGTTCCCCCTGTGCCCCCCAAAAAAGACAATGTAGCATGTTGGCTAAAACTGGAGCAAAGTGCACTAAAACATTAATTTCCTGAACTCAACTGTTGTACTAGTCACCTTTTAAAACAAATTGCTCTTTAGCCATTTGTAGTTCAGTAAACGTTACAGGAAAGACTTGCCACACTTTCTTCCAAATTTTAAGAGGTGATTTTTCAAGAGCTTTATTTGGGTATGTTTGTCAGACCAGGATCTTCAGAGTTGATGGAAAAGGGTCTTATGGGAAAACTTACTTTGATAAATTACTACACATGCAGAAAAACTGATCACACTGACTGGATCTGTCCACAACATGGAAAATAAACTGGATTTTCAGAATATTGTTGTTCTCTATAGTGTTCAAGGTATTGGTCTCTAAATAGTGTGCTTCACTCAATTAAAACAAAGTTACACTTTTCTTTATTAAAGATGGTGACTACTTTGAGTTTAGAAAAAGAAAGCTATGGAAAAATAGCCCTTTTATTAGGAACTGCTTAACAGGTTTATTAAATGCATGTTGAACTACCACTTTATTTATCATTTGCACATTAATTTTAGAATCATTTCTGTTTTACTGCTGATTGAAAGAGTAATTTTGCTCTGTATTGTCTGTATTTTGATTTTTCTGGTTTTGTTTATCTGCATTTGCTTTTATCTTCCGCCTTCCCACTCCCATGTTCAAACATCCTCCAGTGTAAAGAGCAAATATGTTTTAGGTTTTATGTCAGATTGAGATAAGCCTCAGAGTTTTTTTCTTTTTCTTAAATTGTGTTTTCCCAGAAGGCTGCATTGTTTTGGCTGTTTCCACCTCAGTATCCTGCCCAGACTCTCCAGTTTTCAGCAGGAGCCAGATTTTTTTTTGTTCTGTTGAAACTAGTGGTGATGGGGAAATTAAAGCAACACTATTTCACTGCACAGAATTTATGATGATGAATTAGAGTGGTAACAAAGTAAATATAAAAGTTATTGTATGTCACAGGTGAATTCCAATTAACCTCGAGTTAAATGTAGCATTAGCCACAAGAGAACCTAACATAACTAGCTTTGACAGAAAGCTCTGTCAGCATCACATATTGAATGTTTTGAGGACTCTAAGATTGCACTATTTGGTTATCAAATTAAATCAGATGCAAATTGTATTTGCTAACACAGCTAGAAGGGACCTGAGAAATGTGGTTTACATTTAAAATCTATTGTATTCAATGTAACCTCAGAAAAGTGTAATTTTTAAATTATCTGGTATGTTATATTCAGGTGATTTTTTTTTTGCCTTAATTTCCAATGATCAGCAGTTAAGTAATGTTTATTGTGCATTCACACATTGTGATATGAAATGTGTTTAGTAACTTTTATAAGCATGGTAAGGTGCACAGTGGTATGGTTCTTAATGATAGCATCAACAAGTTTGGTAGCTGAGGAGGGTGGAATCATACAGATGTGTTTTGATAGAACTTTTAAAGTTAAGCATAATTTTAACATGCTGTCTAAATAATGGGCAGCTGGTGAAGAGTTTGGACCGTATTATTTGAAAGGGAGCCTGCAAGTACAGAAACTACAGTAGTTAAGTTGTACATCCAGTGTGAAATTGCCAATCTCAGAAATTGACCATGGAGATCTGGGGGAGGGAACACTGTTTTGGGCTGACTCAAACTTTCTCTGCAGCAAGTTCTTTTTTAAGAACTACTTAATTGAAGTACAAATTGACAAACTCCATTAAGACATAAAATTTGATAGGCTTTGACCTGTGAAACCATCACTGCAGTCAGGGTAGTGAACATATCTGTCATGCCCCTATCCCCACAAAGTTTTTTGGTGTTTCCTCCTTCATAATGTTCCCTCTTAAGACTACCCACCTTCCCCACAACTTTTTTGTTTTTATTTTTGGTATAAAATATGAGAAAATTATTAGGGTAATGGGTTTAAAATAGCATTTCAAAAAATGTATCATATTAAGGATTAGAATGATTATTTGCATAAATATATTTCTGTTAAAGTTGAAATAAGTAGAAATGTTCACAAAAATAATCAGATTGATAACATCAGTTGTATATTTGAATTGGTATGTTGAAGGGCTTGGTACCTAATATTTTTAGTTCTTTTTGCTAGTGTTTATGTGTAATGTTAGAATACGGTTATATAAACATTTTAAATTTAGGAATGTTACAAATGACTTATTAAAGTCTCACAACATGTTCTACTTGGATGGTCCATAACCTACTCACAAACTTTATAAAAGATGTTTATTAAAGTGTGCTTTTATTAGAATCTATATAGCTGAATTAGAAAAGGCACACACTTGGAAAATTTTATTTTACAGCAAGATACTCATTTTTACCTACATGAAAAACTGGGAGATAACTGCTAGAGCTTTTAAAAACAGGATATTACTAATTGAGATAATACTGTGAATTTTTTTCTTTTTACATTTATATTTCTGGAGTTAATAGTAGTTCCTTGATATTCAGGAGGTGGTGGGCATGGCATTGGAAGCAGTACCACGATCCCCCAGTCCTCCAGTGCTGCAGAGCAGTTCCAAGTATTCTACTTAATCGTACTGTTGCCTTGTGTTAGGCTGGGCAGAATGCAAAGAAGACGGGGCTCCAAGGAGAGCTGTGATTATTTCAGTACATAATTATGGGCACTGTGGGACACATGGTCCTGAAAAGCTTTTAGTTCAGGGCTTGGGAGTGCTGTAATTCAGTAATTACCTACTTTAAAAGGTTTTGTAGTTGTCAGTTTTTGTTTTCTTATGAGACAACGTGCAGTTTAATCATTGCTGACATCCTGTAAACTCACTCCACTCACTCTTAGGTAGTATTTGTAGAATCAGTTATTGAAGTTTATATAATGTGTCAAATCATTAGGTCTATTGGAAGGACACTGCTGGGGATGTGCAGTGCAGCAGTGTTCTAACTCTTTGTATATGTAAGAGCCCACATGGTGGTGGTTCCCAGAACTTTGCACATTGGTACCACTGGAGGTCTTCAGAAATGGTGATTCAAATGTATTGGTAGGCAGTTTGGTAGAAATAGTCAACACTTGGAATTGAAACCTGGATTTGATTATGAGCTGTGACCTTAATCCACATACTTAACCTCTCCAGACATAAATGTCGCATAAAGTTGCTGAGAGGATGAAAAGAACCAGAGAGGGCCTGGTATAAGTCCTAGACACACAATAGCCCTTGAGTTAATTTTAGCTGTTAATTTCCCTACTGATAACACCATGTTACTCAGCAGTAACTGCAATAGCAGGTAGTACATTTATCCTCTAATGTACATGTTTATATTAAACAGACTATTCTAAATTGTTGTATATGATGTGAAACAGTTCTTGCAGCGCACTAAAATTGAGCTGTTGGTCTTCATTTATTTGGCATTATGCTCAGCTACGAACTAAGCTTGATAAGATTTTATTTAATCTTTAAAAGTGAGGTTTAGTGTTTTGAAATGCAGTCATTGAACTTTAATGGTAAATCATACTTTAGTGAGCTAATAATAACAAAGATGGAGTTCAGTACTTTAAAATCTTTAAAAATAGAATTACATCCAATAGTCACCAATCTAAGCTGAGTTTGACTTGCTACCTCTACCTCATTTTTCTTATAGACCATATTTCCTTTTTTTCTGGTATGCTCAAGATGAGCAGAGAACAGGCTGGAGAATTGGGAGAGTCATTTGGCAGAATAGATAAAATCTGGGTACTGAGAAGTAAGGAGTAAAGGGACCACTTCTATGCCCATATAAACTCTTGCTTATGACTAAACTCTGCCACTATAGCACAAAAGCAGCCATAGACAATGTAAATGAATGACTGTGTCTGTTCCAATAAAATGGGCCAGCTCTGGGCAGTAGTTTTCTGATCCCTGTTCTAAAATCATAAGGACCAGACCTTTGGAAACAAATGAAAGTTGGGTTGTATGTGGTATTTGATTCTTACCATTACCTGGATGATTTTTCAGTCTTGCAGAACTTTAAAGAAAATATTTTCTCCTTGTAAACATGCTTGTAGTATTGTGTCTACACAGGGTAAAATATATTGCATCCTGAATCACATTAAAAGACGGAAATTTATCAATGCAATACAAATACTTCTTAGGAAATGAGATAACAAGTGAAACATGGAGGCAGTTTTAAAAGGACAGATTTGTTCCCTTCCCTAAAATTAATTTATTTACTGACTTGTTAACTCTTCCAACATTCTCTATGTGTTTATTATAAAGAGAGAACTTTTGTCTTTTTCATTCTCAGTTGGATTGTGCTGATAATAATGTGGACCATTTATTTTCAAGAAAGCCTTTGATGACTTTTGGTGGAAATTAAAGTTTCTCTGAAGTGATGGGAACGTTTTTGGCGAAAAGTATGTCATCCTGTTCTGAACATGAATTGAGAACCAGAAGCATCTCGTTAGTAGCAACAGGAAATAAAATGGGAATGAGCTTTGAAACAAGTTGAGGGTTCAAGATTTTGTATCGGCAGTTGCCATTACAAACCATCAGATTCCCATGAGAATTTTGATGCCTGCATTTGATCTGGTGGATGCTCACGAAAAGACTGGGTGATACTTCAGCAGCAGTAGGTGATGAAGTTAAGTCTCAGTGCATGCTTCAGGCTTACAGAACTAGGCACAGAGAAGAAAGCGGTACTAAAATTCTTCCTGGGGTGGAGGTGAGGGAAAGATCTCAGGTCTATGCTGGGGAAAAGTGGTCAAATTGGTGTATCTGAACCCAGGAACCGAAAATAGGGAACACCTTCCTCAGCTAGTGAAGCAAATAATTGATGTAGTTAAGCCACTTGGGAAGTACTACATGGGCTCTAAATCCACAGAAGGGAATAAACAAGCCGCTGGAGCAAGGACTGGCAACCCATCATGCCTATAGCTAGTGCAACTGGCTCCAAAGTTCAAGTAGCCTGATCTGTCATCCAACCTAGTAAGCAGGAATCTGATGTAGGTGAAGAGTGGAGATAAAAAGCGTCCACTAGTTTAAATATGATCAGTGACTTCTTTAGTAGTAAATATTTCTTAATATCTGTAACTTCCCAAGTTAAACAGTAAAGTCAATAAAATGAGGGCTTGCTAGGCCAGGCCCTCTGCTGAAAGTACAAAGAATAAAGATAACTCCTCTGCTGAAAGTGTTCACAGCCTTGTAGAATAAACATAACTGCAAATGAGTTTTCAAGTATGTGCAATATACAGGGTTAGCATAGGGCAGAGTAAGGATTCATGGAAGGCTTTCCAGAGGATGTCGTAGCTTGCTTTTAATGAATGAATGAATCTGGTAAGGCACACAGGGCAGAAAGGATTTTAGGCAAAGGAATTAGCCTGAGCAAGGGCATCCT